TGGAGTGTTCAGAACCTTCAAGAGGGTGTCGGCTGTATTTTTCTGGAAGGGAATGAAGAAGGATATCACTAAATTCGTGACCGAATGTCACATCTGCCAGACTAATAAATATCAAACATTGGCTCCAGGGGGATTGCTGCAACCCTTACCAATCCCTACCCAAATTTGGACTGACCTTTCCATGGATTTCATTGGTGGACTCCCAAGAGCTTCGGGCAAGGATACAGTTTTGGTGGTAGTAGACAGGTTATCTAAGTATGCCCACTTCTTACCCCTATCCCATCCTTTTTCAGCACAGGAGGTAGCCCAAATGTTCATTCGGGAAGTAGTGCGACTGCATGGGTTTCCCGAGTCCATTGTCACGGATAGGGACAAGTTATTTTTGAGTCAATTCTGGTCAGAATTGTTTAAATCAGCAGGCACTAAATTGAAATATACTTCGGCCTATCATCCCCAATCGGACGGACAAACGGAAGTGGTTAATAAGTGCTTGGAGGATTATTTGAGGTGCTTCGTGGGCGATAAACCCAAGCAATGGCCTAGGTGGCTAGCTTGGGCAGAATTTTGTTTCAACACACATTATAATCAGTCGGCGGGTATGACTCCATTCAAGGCGGTGTATGGAAGGGATCCCCCAGCGATTTTTAAGGCTCCAACCTTTCCGTCCAAAGTGGAATCCGTGAATGTAATGGCAGAAGAGAGAGATGGAGTTTTGGAGGAGTTAAAGGCGAACATTGGTAAGGCACAGCATAGGATGAAACAGCAAGCAGATAGGAAGAGAAGAGATGTTAACTTTGAGGTGGGCGATTGGGTTTATCTCAAAGCCCAACCTTATAGACTCAAATCGTTAGCGAAAAGGAGAAATGAGAAATTAGGCCCGAGATACTATGGTCCTTTTCGGGTGTTGGCTAAGGTTGGTGCTGTGGCTTACAAGTTGCAATTACCGGAGAGCAGTAGAATTCATCCAGTCTTCCACGTCAGTAAATTAAAGAAGGCCGTCCCGCTGGAGAAGCAAGTACAGTCCCTTCCGGAGGAAATTTCTGTAGATTGGGAATTGCAGCCACAGCCTGCAGAACTCTTATCTTACAGGTACAGCAGAACTGGAGAACTGGAGGTGCTCATTCAGTGGCACAACCTACCGGACTGTGAGAATTCGTGGGAGACAGCAACCAAGATGCAGACTGCATTTCCACAATTCCACCTTGAGGACAAGGTGATTGCTCGAGGGGGGAGTATTGATAGGGGACCTGTGGTTAAACAGGTCTATGTTAGGAGGGAAAAGGGGGGTAGTTAGTTATTTTTGTAACTAACTGATGACAGTCGGGTAGGGACTGTTAAATTGTATAAATAGGAGGGAATAAGGGGGAGGAAGGCATTTGGGAAGTATTGTATTCTGGGAGAGATAGGCACTCTCGAATTGCCTAGTTCACTGTATTCTGTCCTTCTGGTTGTGTTGACAGCAAGGACTCAAGAGCAATAATACTACAACCTTTCGTTATTTTCCAATTCTCTCTTAATATCCAGTTGAGACCTATCACATTTATCTGTAAATTTGAATTGTTCTCTCAACCTATTAATGGTGAATTGCCTTCATCAATAGCATTTTCACCTCACTGCCTCTACTTTTAGACATTTCACGGGCCTACAAGCAACATTTAAAGGTCACTACCCCAATGCTCAAACTGTCAAACATGTCCTTTTACAACAATCTCACTTCTAAAACTGGTCTCACCCAGAATCTCTCGTTTTGCTGTTACTGATTTAGATTTACACATCTTTTTTTCTGCTACATGGGAGTGTGTGCTCCCCATTTTCTTATCATTTTTACTCCATCTGTTTTCCATAGTCATTCCACTCTCCAGTCAAATTTAGTCCCCCTTGCCCTTGTTCACAGCCTTCCATGCTGCTAGGTGACAGCTCTTGAGTCATGAATGATTTTATATTTAGCAGACCTAATTAGAAATTTCTTGCTCTATGGACCCAATTACAAACTTTAAAATATAGAGACCAAACCAAAGCTTTCCAGACACTAATGGGACCTATAGATTAATTAAACCTAAAAATATAAAGACAAGGTTATAAAATTAACCAATTGGGCTGGAATCATCTTTGAAATTAGAAAGGTGGAGGATGCGCCCTCTCTGTGAGAAATTAACAAATTCTTCTCTATGAGTAGGATCACCCTCCCTCAACAACCGATGAATGACTATCAATGTTTTCAATGCCACCTGTTAACAACACAAAAAAAAGTGAAACATGAGCTTACCTAACCATTGGAATAAGCCATATAATTAGGCTCAAGCAGGCAACAATTGAAAATTTATGAAAAAAGAAATCATAAGAACAAAGTGAGCAATAAAGGTAATATTAGATACTATATTAAGATATAAAGAATTCAAAACTCCTTTAGCAAAAATAATAAATATTCTAATACTTCAATAGTACAAATTTGATGCAATATTCAATTGATTTTGAGTTTAACAATTAAGTCATGGAAAAACAAGCTGATCATGTTCTATACCCTAAGAGTGGTGTTTAGCAAAATTTGACACATCATACATAGGCTTTAATTATTAAGAAATATATAATTGAAAGAATTTATTTGATTTTGTTTCATTTTATTTTTTTTATTTTTTATTTTATTTTATTTTATTTTATCTCTTCCTTTTACATTTTATGGTCTCATGTATTTTCAGGCATAATCTTGACAATTTATGACCAATTCAGACAAATTTTACCAAAAAAAACTTAAAAAGGAATTTATCGAAAACCAGATTGATCCAAAGCTAAAAGATTCTGATTGAGATTCAAATCCTAATAAATATTTAAGAAATTGGAGATCTAGGAAAAAATGAATGCCAAAACAAGAAACTAAGACTTTAGGTCCAGTTTGACTTTGACAACCTAGGCCTTTAACATAGGGAAAAGGCTGTCACAGAAGGAATTCATACTTAAATATAGAGAAAGACAACAAAAGAGCACACGATAAGACCAAAGGCAGAGCAGAAGAAAATCGCAGAAGTTTTACAACTACGTTTAATCTTTACTTTCTTATTCATTTCCTTTATTTGTCTTCTACGGGGATTCACATGGTTTCTAGCATGTGAAAATAGGTAGAGGGAGACCAATAGGAACATCAAGAAAATTATTAAAAGGGATCTCATGGTAAATAATATCCCTAAGAATCTGGTTTTTGACTGAGTCCAATGGTGTCGGGTGATCGATGTAGCCAACCTCACCTAGTTGATGATGATGTTATTTACCATGAATCTATACGGGATAAATCCTAGATTTATCAACGCATTACTTACTCGACAATATACACTTGTGAAATTTCCCTATCAAAAATATTAAAGTAGGAATGGAACATTTTTGGGTGGCAAGAGTGACAGACACTAAAGAGGTTTATTCTTTAAAGCACGAACACGCGACACGACACAAACATGCACACATGTATGTAAATAACATAGAATCAAGATACCCTTAATCTCCCCATTAACCATTAGGCATCATGATGGATAACAAAAGGCATAAGAGTACCGTCCAGTTTCGCGTCTTGGCCAATCGACGTGCGAGCGCATGAATGCAGTAAGCAACATCGGCTCGAGGCCGCGACGCAGAAGTTCCCAACAAAATTTCTACAGACAACAAACGCAATTTCATCGTTTATATAATATAAGTAAAATAAAATAAAATAAAATAAAAAGGATTCTGATTTGTGAGTGACAGTGACTTCTAAGGTGTCTCTCTTTGGGAGGACACTCGACGTGGTTGGTGGCTTTGACTACGGCAACGTCCAAGTCCTAACAATAAAGATGATATTTAGAATCAAAGGAAAAGTAAAATGAAATGGAAAATGGAAATGAGAATGAGAATGAGATTAGGGAGTGACCGCGTAATCGCTGTTGACATGAGCGAGACCGACTTTGGTGGAGTCTTTGAGAGCGCCGTAGGCTCTTCTCCATGACTCGAGAGTGCCCATTGTTTCTGTTATTCTATTCTTCAAACCCTCTTCTTCGTATTCTTCTATGATCAAAAACGGAAAGAAAGAAGGTTTGTTTGTTTGTTGGAATAAGGAATGTTGTTTTGTTTCGTACTGGGTGGCGTTTGGCGGCCATCACTAGGCACTAGCTCTGCCCCTGCGTCACACTCATTAATTTAATTTAATAATTTTGATCGTGTTTGATTTCACGTTTAAAACGTGAAAAATTACATTTAACGTGAAAGTTATAATTAATTTTAACGTTAAACGTGATTTTTTTTTAAACCAAACACACACTCTATTCTGTAATCTATCACAACATTAAAAAAGTTAATATAAATTTTTTTCTTTTTATAAGAAATGCAGCAAACAAATTCTTTTGTTACACTCTTTTAAATATATTTTCTATTAATCAAAATTTATAAATTAAAAAAAAAATTAAAAGTTGGATAGTGTCATACCTGTTAGTAACTTTCTCACCTAATTTTAAAATTTTTAATAAAATTTAATCAACAAAAGATAAAAAAAACTTATGTATAATTATTAAGATATAATTAATGTTATTTTCTTATTAAAGTTAGACTTTTATTTCAATAATATATATATATATATAATGTATATTAATAAAATCTACATTAAATATAAATACATAATATCAAAGTAAAAGTTCAACTTTAATATTATAACAACGCTAAACATACCTAGCATGGAATACATTTCCAAATGTGTAACTATTCCAATTCAACAAGGCTTTTTTCATATGATCAACTTTGTGGTTTCAATTTTGTTCAACATGCCATTCTCGTTGCATAAGACCTTGAAAGGTTTCATGGATCATCCACAGCTTCAAATCGAAATGGTCTCTTTCTTCTTCTGAGATTCTCATCTAAGCCAAAACGAAGTAAAATGGGAGAGTGTTATGATTTGAAAGGATTGAGATGAATGAGAGACGCATCAGGGAAGCTAATATGCCAATCGTAAGAGACTAAGGATCAACCAAGACGTTCATAAAGAAGACCTCTATGCCAAGTGAAGGGAGCACCCTGATAGCCAATATCTATAAGGTTACAATGGTTAACAAACTCTCGAAAAGCATTGTCACCCCGAATTGACAAACCAGGCGAGCCACCCTGACGCTCATAAGAATGCAGAACAACATTAAAATCTCCAATCAGGTTCCATGGGCCATCCACCTAAGTAGCAATCGTACAAAGATCCTTCCAAAGTTGAACACGTCCCTGGATGTGGGGACTAGCATAGACCATGGTACAGTACCATGAATTGCTTCCATTGAGAATCTTCAAATGGATATATTGTGAAGAATGATTCAAAATGTCCAACAGCCATTGGTTTTTGTCTCATAAGCACTAAATCCCACCCGCTTAACCTTGAGCATGGACCAAGAAGAATGAGTCAAGGGAAATCCCATGGACAACATACGTTGCATTAACACCGCTAATGTGTGTTTCTAACAGGCAAAGAACACCTACCTTATGCTCTTTAATAATGTCATTCATCAGGTTAGTAAAGCCTTTACTACCCGCCCCCCTACTGTTAGATATTTGATTTTGTCTTGCACACGTAGCAGTTTTATTTAGTTTTATTTTAGTTTTATTTACTTTTCTTATTGTTTTGAATTAGTCCTAGACTTTAGGAGAAAGTAACCACTTAGTCCTAGTGACCCTAGACTTTAGGAGAAAGTAACCACGTTACTTTAGTTAGTTTCTTTTTTTCTGCGAGGCATTATAAATGTATTGGCAGTTAGAATAGTAGAATTGAATTCCCATTATTTTCATTCCAGAGATAATATATTCATCTTCATACTTTGTCTCTTCTCTCTCTCGTTGTGCTCTGTTTTTGTTTATGTTGCTGCACTTGTCTCTCAAAACCAACAACTGGTATCTAGAGCCCCATTCTTACGGACCTGTGAACCCTATTCTTACTGACCTGCGAACCATTTTTCGTGCGGACTTGTGAAAATGGAAGCCGAATCAAATTTCTCTCAAATTGCACCTCCGATCTTCAACGAAGAAAATTATGATCTTTGGGCTGTCAAAATGGAGGCTTACCTAGAGGCTTTGGATCTTTGGGAAGCTATAGAAGAGGATTACGAAGTTCTTCCGCTGCCGGATAATCCCACCGTTGCCCAGATCAGAAGCCACAAGGAGAGAAAAATACGAAAGGCAAAAGCAAAGTCATGCCTTTTTGCAGGTGTTTCTCAAACAATCTTTACAAGAGTCATGGCTCTCAAATCGGCAAAATCAATATGGGATTATTTGAAGGAGGAGTATGCTGGAGATGAAAGAATTCGAAGCATGCAGGTACTTAATTTAATGCGGGAATTTGAGTTGCAAAGGATGAAAGAATCCGAGACAATCAAGGAATACTCTGACAAATTGTTAGGTATTGCCAACAAGGTGAGGTTGTTGGGCAGCGATTTTGCAGATTCCAGAATTGTCAAGAAAATTCTGGTGACGGTGCCGGAGAGGTACGAAGCATCTATAGCTTCGTTGGAGAACACAAAAGATTTGTCTAAAATCACTTTGGCTGAAGTGTTACATGCCTTGCAAGCCCAAGAGCAGCGAAGATTGACGAGACAAAATCATGTTGTAGAAGGTGCTTGGCCAAGCATCACGAAGTTGAACAGAGCAAAAAGAAACATTTCAAGAAGAATCAAGCATCAAGCAATCAAAGTCCAACAAGAAACCAAATGAAAGGCAAAGGAGGTAAGAAAAACTATCCACCTTGTCAACACTGTGGCAGAAAAGGTCATCCACCTTTCAAATGTTGGAGACGACCTGAAGCAAAATGCAGCAAATGCAACCAGATGGGGCATGAAGCTATAATTTGCAAAAACAAAAATTGTCATGATGAAGGAGCTCAAATTGCTGATCAGCGGGAGGAGGACCGACTATTTGTGGGTACTTGTTTCTTGAGTAGTGAATCAAATGAAAGTTGGCTAATTGATAGTGGGTGTACCAACCACATGACCTTTGACGAGGCACTCTTTAAAGATTTGAGGCCAACCAATATCACTAAAGTCAGAATAGGAAATGGTGATTATATCACAGTCAAAGGAAAGGGGATAGTTGCAATCACAAGCTGTGTAGGCACAAAATTCATTCCTGATGTTCTTCTTGTTCCTCAACTTGACCAAAACTTGTTGAGTGTTGGTTAACTGATTGAAAGAGGATTTAAGGTTATTTTTGAAGACAAATACTGCTTGATTCAAGATGCAGCCTTAGTCACTGCAATACCATTTCTTTTCACTATCATCCGATCTAGTATTGTTTCAGGCTCCCTTTCAGCAAAAGCAGCATCAGCTTCATATGGAAGTTTATTGGAATTATTGCATTTCCCACATGTTTTTTAAGCTGGGAAATATGGAAAACATTATGCACTTTAGACTGAACTGGAAGTTCAATTTTGTAAGCTACTGCACCCACACGATCCAGAATTTTGTAGGGACCAAAGAACTTAGGACTGAGTTTCATATTTCCCCTTTGGGCCACTGAAATCTGTCTATAAGGATGTAGTTTGACATAAATTAGATCTCCTATCTGATATTGTCTGTCCTTCCTTGGGCTCTTCTTAAATGAAACTTAAGTAACTTCAGCATCTCTTCTCTTTTTGCCAAGCTTCTGTCTACTAATTCAATCCCGGACTCTCCTGGAAAATATGGAAGATATGCTGGAGCAGGTTGCCCGTATACAATCTCATAAGGATACTCTAGCGGAGCAGACCACAAACCCCATAGAATAATTAAGTGAAGGCAGAGAAGTAGCGTAGAAGAAAGGTTGTTAGAAGGATAGATATTCCAGCACAGCTCCACTCCCACGAACAAAATCAAACGCAGCAATGTTGGGTAATGCGTTCTCCACAATAAGTAAGGTAAGCTATAGAAGTACCATGAATAGAACTGGTAATGCAATGACCGAGCAAATAAAATGCCAATGAAGTTCCCGACAAACATAGTTGTCACAATATGTTCTTTAGTAAGGACCTTGAGGGATGATGAACTGCTCTTGCCAACCTTCTTAGAAAAAGTGGAAGAGAAGAAAAGCGCAAACCTCAGTCTCATAAAGACATATCTAGAATGCAGAAAGTTGCATAGCCCTCCTTCATGTTTGCACCAACTATAATGCGCAAATGCAGCAAGTGATAGGAGGTGGGCAGCCAACAAAAAGATTGCAAATCCCTTGGACACAAATACTAGTTCAGGGATGAATTTGAAGTTAACATACCAGAAATGGATGAAGACACGACCAAGATTAAAGGCACCTGATATGTATGCAACTGATCGAATGCCAGATTTATTTGCCTCAGAATTCTTCCCGAAAGGAATAACAGCTTTCTCTGTCAATCCTGGTTTTGATCCCAATAGCCCTTTCTGTTTGTTCAATGATAACGACGACACCACGAAACTTGGTGCATTAGCAGCTTCATACATCCGAGCTAACGTGAATGCCTTTTGTACCGTAGTGGGTTGGAACATGCGCACCAACATCTGGACATCTTTCTTTAATCCACCTAAAAAACAACTCAAAGTATATTGTTCTGACAAATTCAGTTTATTAATAATGGCATCGAACTCTTCATGATACTCTCCCATCGACTTAGTCTGTCGAAGTTTCATCAACTCTGCCATAGGATCAACACACACATCTCCAAACTTGTCTCTCACCAACCTACTATAAGCATTCCAAGACAGTAAAGAAAAATTCGTAGTTTTTGCAAGAGCTGTGTGCCATTGTAAAGCACGTCCTTCTAAGTGAATTATTGCTAATTGTACACGACTTTCATCAGGTGTTCGGTCATTTTTTTGACTAGTACACTTACACTTCTACTCTTCTTGTTCTTCTTTTCTCCACCACTTGGAAACCTCTTTATAAATTGTGTGGCCTCTGTTTGAAGTGCTTACTCTCTGTATTGAAAGAAAGAAAAGTTTTTTCTTCAAGAATAAATCAGAGGTGGCTGAAATTTTCTAGAAGTTCAAAGCCAAGATTGAGAATGAAACTGGTTCCAAAATTCAGATTCTAAGGTCAGACAATGGCACTGAGTACACATTTGAAAAATTCAATCAATTTTGTGCGAATTCCGGCATTGAACATCAGCTGACTACTCCTTATACCCCACAACAAAATGGGGTCAGCGAGAGGAGAAATCGATATATCTTGGAAATGACGAGATGCATGTTGTATGAGAAGAACTTGCCAAAGGAATATTGGGCAGAGGCAGCAAGTACAGGTGTTTTTCTTCAGAATAGACTTCCCACCAAAGCACTAAACGATCAAACACCATTTGAGGTCTGGTATGGTTAAAAATCATCTCTTAAATTTCTCAAAATATTTGGTTGTTTGTGCTTTACTCATGTTCCACAGAGCAAGCGAGATAAGCTAAACAAGAGAGCTTCACCAGGTATCTTCATAGGCTATAGCACTGTCAGCAAAGCCTATAAAATATTTCAGCCACAAACAGGGAAGATAGTTATCAGCAGGGATGTTCACTTTGTGGAAGATGAAGAATGGAATTGGGATGATAAAGGGAAGACAGATATGACCTCTCCAAATGTGAAGCTCAAGACTCCATTCTCAACCACACAGAATGAAGATGAAAACTGGCAAAATGAATTGGTGGATGATGTTCCAACACGAGGTACCAGATTACTCTCTGAAATTTATGAAAGATGCAACATTTCTGTATGTGAACCTGCAGATTATGAAGAAGCAAAGAAAAATCCAAATTGGGTAGTTGTAATGAAAGAGGAGTTATCAATGATCGAGAAAAACCAAACTTGGATTCTTGTGGAAAAACCTCAAGGCAGAAAAGTAATTGGGGTCAAGTGGGTATATAGAACTAAGCTAAATGCTGACGGTTCTATCAACAAACACAAGGCAAGACTCGTGGTGAAAGGTTATGCACAGATTTTTGGTGTGGACTACTCAGATACATTTGCACCAGTTGCTCGATTGGAAACCATAAGGTTGTTACTTGCTATAGCTGCACAAAAGAATTGGAAGGTTTATCAACTTGATGTTAAATCAGCCTTTTTAAATGGTTTCTTACAAGAAGAAATCTATGTTGAACAACCTCAAGGCTTTGTGAAGGAAGGAGAAGAAGACAAGGTTTACTTACTCAAAAAGGCTCTTTATGGGCTAAAACAAGCCCCACGATCCTGGTATAGCAGAATTGATGATCATTTGCTGAACTTGGGATTTGTCAAAAGCTTAGCTGAATCAACATTGTATGTTAAGCATAATAGAGCTAATATTCTTATCATCTCACTCTATGTCGATGACCTTCTTGTAACAGGAAGCGACACAAGACTTGTAGAGAAGCTTAAGAAACAAATGATGGAGGTATTTGAAATGACAGACCTTGGCTTAATGACATTTTTTCTTGGCATGGAGATCAAACAAGGAGAACATGAAGTCTTTATTTGTCAAAATAAATATGCCAAGGAGATTTTGAAGAAGTTCAAACTTGATGAATGCAAAGAAATGAGCACTCCAATGAATCAAAAGGAGAAGCTGAGCAAGGAAGATGGAACTGAGAAAATAGATCAAGCATATTTCAGAAGCATGATTAGGTGTCTGATGTACCTTACAGCAACCCATCCTGACATTTTAAATGTTGTAAGCATTTTATCCCGATTTATGCATTGTCCAAGTGAAATGCACCTCAAGGCTGCAAAGAGGGTGATTAGATATGTCAAAGGCACTTGCAATTTTGGCATCAAGTACAAGTGGACTGAAGAATTCAAGTTAACAGGTTTCTCAGATAGTGATTGGGGTGGCTCAATTGATGATATGAGAAGTACTTTTGGATATTGTTTTAGCTTTGGATCAGGTGTGTTCTCTTGGAGCTCAAAGAAACAAGCAACTGTTGCTCAATTTACAACAGAAGCAGAATTTGTTGTTGCTACAGCTGCTGTTAACCAAGTCTTGTGGTTGAGGAAAATTTTAATTGATCTTAACATGGAGCAGAAGGTAAGCACGGAGGTTTTTGTTGACAACCAAGCAACAATAGCTATTTCTCATAATCCGGTCTTTCATGGGAAGACTAAGCACTTCAACATTAAGCTGTTTTTCTTAAGGGAAGTACAGAGAGATGGAGCTGTTGACCTTGTTTATTGCAAGACAGAAGACCAAGCTGCAGATTTATTCACCAAGCCACTTTCAATCAGCAAGTTTGAGTTCTTAAGAAAGAAGATTGGGGTTTGCACATCCAAAATCAAGGAGGAGTGTTAGATATTTGATTTTGTCTTGCACACGTAGCAGTTTTATTTAGTTTTATTTACTTTTCTTATTGTTTTGAATTAGTCCTAGACTTTAGGAGAAAGTAACCACTTAGTCCTAGTGACCCTAGACTTTAGGAGAAAGTAACCACGTTACTTTAGTTAGTTTCTTTTTTTCTGCAAGGCATTATAAATGTATTGGCAGTCAGAATAGTAGAATTGAATTCCCATTATTTTCATTCCAGAGATAATATATTCATCTTCATACTTTGTTTCTTCTCTCTCTCGTTGTGCTCTGTTTTTGTTTTTGTTGCTGCACTTGTCTCTCAAAACCAACACCTACAGTTCTAACATAAAAAATTCATTGGAGAATATTAGAGGGTTGAGACTTAGAAGTCCGAGTATTGTCATGTTGTACCACCACAACCATTTCATGGTCACCATTAGGAGAAGTAAACTGGTTATCTTAAGAGAAAT